TAATTCAAACTTTAATTAAAACTTTACTTCTAAATTTCCTTCACGGAAAACTCTACAACACATTTATTCATTTATTTCCGGATAATTATTTAATTTAGTTTTAAATGTTGATTTAGATTCGGTTATATTTTAAGTGTAGTTATAAAAGTGACTTGTTTATTTACGACATTTTAAACACACTAAATAAAAACACAAAAGTACATGTGTTTAGTTCGGGCTTTCACTATACCATATTAGGAGCACGTCGATAATTGATTTACACCCGCGCCAGCGCCCCCTTCCGGCCACGTGTAGAAATTGTTTACTTGCTTTGACGCTGATTAATCACTTTAAATTACTTTCATTGAACCTTACATTGATACCAGAAATACTTAACAGATATGTAACATACCCGAATACATAAAATGCATAATAAATTTCTAACAGTGGTAGCCCGCTTTAACATCTTCGCACCAATAGGTCGGCTCGCCCGGTGAAATACTACCACACAGAAGAAAGGCGTGAAGTGGGAGCAATTCCGCGTACAGTCCTATAAGTATGGTGCCGGAGGCCCAAATTTAGTCCCTTTTCCTTTTATGCCCTTGTAAGGAAATGATGAGAAGGGAAAGTGGATTTGACGCTGGAGGAGAAGCATCCGAAGGGGAAATATCCTCATTGTGTGCGTTTCTTAAGGGTAGGTAACGTATCCGCTATTGCGAAAATCTATGGGCAGCGGTCTCTTTGCCATTTTGATGAATTCAGGTGGACGCTTGCTCGTTTGCAATTTTATGATATATTAAAAAAACACATTACGAAAAACTATATCACTAATAATTAATGTTAAACTTTTAAATGCTTTCATGAGAATGATTTAATGAATGCGTATTTATTTCTCGTGTATTTTCCACACAACAGCGGCTGTAAGCTTCGTCTAAGGTTGTTGTTAATTTCACAGTCTCCGAGCAACGCTACATTCGACATCTTTGGAATTCCTAATTTCAATACCGTTGAAAGGGGAAATCTTTCGGAAAACAGCTTACTTCAAATTAAATATCTACTAATAGTCTTAAAGCTGTTTTTGCTTTTTTTATTAACAGATAACTAGGTTGTATAGGTTCTAGGTTGGTTGACTTCAAACAAATAGTTCGAAAATACTTCGTAAAACATAGATCATCATCACCAGCTCACTATACGTCCCTATTGAGGTGCTGAGACCTTAAGTAAGGGTGAATAGGCCTTAGTCAACTACGCTGCACTGCGGGTTGACTTCACACATATCTTTAAATTTCTTCGCCGATATGCGCAGGTTACATCACGATGTTTTCCTTCACCGTAAGAAATAAAGAAAGTATAGTAAAAACTTATTTTAAATAGTGTCCCACAATCATGGGACGCAATTACCAATCACATTCAGCTCATAAATTAGCAGATTAAAAAAGTTCTGCGCGCTTTTTATATCCGTTATTCTGTCGTGTGCCGCGCCCGCGCGCTGCACATCTGCACAATGACGGCTGTTTTCATTTCTGAATGCGTTATTTATCGCTTTCAATTTATTTCACGCATCTCATTATTACGGGAATAATAAGTCATGTCTATTTTTAAATGCAATACATTTTTGTTATATTTTCACTGGCGACTTCGCCCGCGTTAAAAATTAGCCTATGTTACTCACAGATAAATTACCTTTCTAACGGTGAAAGAAATTTTAAAATCGACCCAGTAGTTCTTTTAAATATTTCAATACATACAAAAATACAAATCTTTACTCTTTATAATATTAGTTTAGAGTACTTAAATGAAGTAAATGTTTCACTTGTATATTTTTTTGTTGTTTTTAAAATGCCACCAAATGTCGCTAAATTAATAGTCACAAACAACCATAAACATTAAAATATTGATGTGTGTCTATGTGTTTGTTAACCTTTAATCAATAGATATACGATTCTATTCGCCCCTTGTCAATACTGTATTTTAAAAAACCCCAAATATGAAAAACGTGAATAAAACATAAAAGAAAATATTTTGTAGTTCATCAGCGCGGTAATCACTAGCTTCTAGACAATAACAACACAACATGTCTTTGTCATTTCTGTCGACTTTTGGTTTTAAGAAAACAATACAAGAATTTTACGTATGTGTGCTAATAAGGGAAAAATAGAACACGCTTTTACAGCTACATTCAAATGCCTACATATCTTTTAAAAAACTCATTTTTTATACCTCATATTACTATAATTATTACACGTTACTAATAAACTAAGATATCGCACAACTGTTAAGTCCCGCTTTGATATCTAAGAGCTTATATGGAGGTGCATAATACTTGATTTTTAGTTGTGCGACTAAACAATCGACAATCGCCCTACACTTGTGCTATAGTTTAGTCAAAGGTGTGCGGCCGCTCTAAGTAGAAATGCGAAAGTTTAGATTGATAGATGTTTGTTACTAGGCATCTCTATATCAGCTTCATTAATCTTGGTGAATATTAGTATAGATACCTCATCTCGTAACTGCTCTATATTTCTAGATTTATCTTTTTAATTCTGAGCAAAGTTGCGGCAAAAGCTAGTTGCACAATAAAATGGTTAACAATTCAATATAGTATGCCAATTGTGCTAACTAGCAAATTTTTCTTAACAACAAAACAATAGAAAAATAAAAGATATTATTTTCTTACAATTAATTTCGGTAAGACAAGATCACGTTCACCGGCAAGAGGCGTCTCTTGAATTTTAAGCATTCGTTTGTATTCCGGAAATATAACTGTGTTTAATTTTGTTTTGTATGCGTTTATAAAAGAGTGTGATTTCTTATTGTGTTTAAACACGTTAATTATAATAAAATTACTTAAATTATATTAAACAAAGAAAGGGCAAGTAGCTATGGGCAAGTAGATTACCTAATGTTGTTTAATCTGTCCATGGACATTGGCCGGCTTTAAGGAGAAGAGTGTGCTTTTTTCTAGGACCACGGCCCCTAAGTCGTATTTATTTTGACAGTGTATTTCACAACACGGTTATGCGAGTAAAAAATTAACACGAAAACCTTATTGTGTCTATTTAATTTACACTATATCACATTTCGTTTGTTTTCATGATAAGATTCAGTTACATGTCTTATTAGTAATGTTAATCGCAGTCATCTTGTTAAGCTAACAAAGATTTAATTATCGAGTCGTCAAATTTGAATAATTAACATCGATTTGCAAATGGATACAACGCCGAGTTTGATTAATTACAAATAGATTAGATTAAGTTCGATTAACTTAAGAATTCTTACTTCAGTTTCTAACTTAACGTCGCTTTTTTGAGATTAGAGGCAAGAGGACGTGTTTTTATTAACTTTAGGTACTGGCGACTTGTTGTTTAGATTATATATTCGAAGATATCTTGTAACAACACACTATGATTGCTTTTGGATTTGGGGTCTATCGGCCTAATACTGAAACGACAGACGTCAAAATTGCAAATACCCAGTCATATAAAACGTTGTAACACATTTAAATGCTCTTTCAGTATTCCGCCTTTAAATCTCAATAATTTATTGTATTACACATTAGTAAAAAAAGTAATAAATCACGCTTTTGTTTAGTATTCATTTGTAATTGATAGCCAATAATATTTAGTGATTTGCTTTTTTATTCTGTGCAAAGAATCGGGACAAAATCGTGGCCCCAACTCGTAACGAAACCTTTTAAGAAGCCATCGGCCCGTAATTTCATTGTATCTGACTCGATGATAATAAATTTCAATAAATATTTTTATCGATGAATATTTTTAAGAGGGAATATATCCAATGTCATTGATGTTTGAGACGAGCTTATTTCGTGCAGTTCAATGAGCAATGTTCTCTATATGGGTTCTTAATTTTATTTTAGAAAGTGGTTATAAATAGAAAATTGTTTTAGCTTATACTAATGTTTTGTGCCGTAACAGTACTCCAAAATATCAATATAAATTAAATACTCAATTAATAGATTTACTAAAATAATCTTTAAACCAAGTACGTGTGGTCAAAGGGGATAACTTAGATTAGGCCCCAACTAACTCGAGCTTCATTAGCTGTTTGATCAGGCACTTTGACTCGGGAAATCTTATTTACCTACGTCATCTAATATGCCACCACAAGCCACCCGGTATCCTGCGGTCTGTGAGCGAGAAACAAACTAGTATGTAAATAAACACTATAAAATAATTGGATAAAATCAATCATCTTCAATATTTTTGTAACATAATAGTGTCAAAAGTAAACTTACAACATAGTTTAACGGATTAATTTTAAAATAATTAAAAAATTTTAGTCATAGATAAAAAAAAAGAAATTAACAGAAAGAAGAAATAACGCCTTGAAAAAATAAATCAGCGTTTTGTCAAAAAGAGAATCGAAGTGTCAAACTTAAAGGTTGTCGCTCATTAAACCTGGCATCATGTAAAAGCATCTGGCAAATATTCAGGTTTATTGGATTCTTAAACTATATGAAAAATTCATCATCATCATCATCTCCTTATCCTACTCCCGTAGGGTCGGCGCAACAGGTTTTTGTCCTCCACATAACTCTATCATACGTCATCTCAGTCATCACTCCCTTTTTGATCATGTCACCTTTTACACAATCCATCCATCTCTTTCTAGGTCTACCTTTACCGATGTACCGTTCCACACTCATAACTAACCTTCTCCTTGTAACATGCGATTCATCCCTCCTCATAACATGCCCATACCATGCTAACCTTTTACTCCTTACCTTCTCTACTACGGGGGCTACTCTCAAACTTCCTCTAATATACTCATTTCGTATCTTATCCATTCGTGTTACCCCACACATCCATCTTAACATTTGCATTTCTGTAACATGTAAATTAATATAAACTAAACTATATGAAAAATTGATTTAGTTAAATCTTATAAAGGCAGGACGTACAAAAATGCTAAATGGCAAATAAGTGTGTTTCGATGTTACTATACAAAAATAAAGTATTTTGGTTTAGGCACATCACTATGGTTTGGGTTTTGACTTTTGACGTTTTATTTCCAATGCTTCACTGAACATGATCCATTGTAAACAATTGTGTATTAATTGTTAAAATATGACGTTTTTGCAGTTTTTCTAAATTACGTGCATTTATTAGACGAGATATAATCATGTCTGATTTAAAGATATGTCGAATTTGCTTACGAAGCGGAGTTAAAGTTTACAAATACGATCAATATCAATTGAAATCTTATTACGAGGAAGTTTTGGCTTTAAAGGTAAATTGTTTGCATAAACATCATATTATACATAATTATCATTACTCATATATTTGATTCTCTCAGATTGATCATACATTCTTAAATATAAATGAAAACTATCGCTGTTTTCTTTCATAACATAAGATAGGGTCTAGAGGTCGTCTGTGGGGACGTATGCTGATGATATTATTGTTATTTTACAAAAGGTGTTTGAAGAAGATCCTCTGCCTCGTTACTTCTGCTACGAATGCTCAACGATTCTGCACAAATTCCACAAGTTCAAGGAAAAATGCTACAGAGGTCACAAATCACTCAAGGACTTACTTTGGAAAGGTCCCGTAAGTAGTATTGTTTACAAAGGTTTTTAATACCCACTAGCTTCAATTTAATAAGAAAAACTAAACACATTAATTGCTTAAATATTCAACCATAAACTTTTATGTAATGTGTATATATTTCATACAAATAAAATCTTTCTGTTAGAAAAAAGCAACAAAATAATCTTGCTTCAGTAATCATCATTAATAAACTCTTTATGAGACACTGAAATACACAATTTTAAGTCCATTTAAGGGGATGCAGGGAATACTGCAGTGTTACATTTACCTTGGGCTGCCAATATTCATATAAAAACACTTTTGATTCCAGATAACATATGAATCAGTATATAAAATAGATAAAACAAACCTTGGATCTAATTTATCTGTAAAATGCACGACTGATAGAATTAAGAATTACACAATAGACAATATAATAGATGATGAATTTGATGAGAAGGGAGATAGTTTAGATTTTGATGTATTTATAGAAGATTCAAATGAAAACAGACCAACAACAGTATTCATAGATGTTAAGGAAGAATGTATTAATTTAAAGAATGAATTCAAAGAAAGAAGTAGAAGTATATCTGAGAAGCCAAACAGAAGATTAGATCCAGAAAGTTGGAAGATCAATATTCTGTCAGAAGAAGAGGCTGTGAAGGAATTTAGATTAAGGTGTGAAGATCCCAAATATTTGGGAGCAGCTTTTAAATGTAAGGAGTGCTACAAAGGTTTCTCTAAAGAAGATATGTTGAAACGCCACAAGCAATTGAGACATAGTCAGGTAAAGACATTTTTAGTTTAATTATACAAGAACTAGCTGTTCCCCTGCGGTTTCATCTGCATGGAAATATAAAAAAATGTTTTATTGTTTAAGTTTGTCAAATTCACAATTGCAAATGTCTAAATTGCCGTTACCATAATAACCTAGGTTATTTAATGTTGGCAGCTTGTAGTTTACGGTCCCTTTCCCACATAAAGGTTTTTCCAATTTAACCCAAAAGTTTAATAGCGTAAAAATAATACCCTAATGTGTGTCATAAATGTAGGGCTTTTTATTAAAAAATGAATTATTCAAAAATATGACATGATCACTGACCTCCTACACCACAAAGTACACACTACTTTGTGGTATAGGATGTTTACACTTTATAGCATAGATGATGGGAAGGGAAAGTGGACTTGGTGGAGCAGAGGAAGTATTTCATCAAAATTTTTTGCTACCATAAAAAAGTCTACTTATAACATTTTAGTGGTTTTTTTCAAACCTTGTAATGCATGTTCAACTTTTGAATACTCATATTTAATATATGCCATACTAATATCTGCTCTGGACTCCATGGTCTGGAACAATTAAGGAAACACTGGTTAAAAAGATATGAAATTATTTTATCAGGACTTGGGTATATTTGAGTGCAAGTTCTGTCGCATGCGGTTCAAGTGGGAGTGCCACAGACGTAGACACATCCGCCAGCACTACACCAAGTACGAGTGTCTCAGGTGCCGTCTTGTCTGCCCGCTGGAGTGAGTATACTACATACACTAGCTGTAATTTTCAACTTAACTGTTAAATAAATATTGTGTTTTGCATATTCCTGTTCCAAATTACGTTTAAATCTGTTTTTCCTGAGTGGTAAAAACATCCATACATCAATAAGTGACGCCAATCTAGGGACTTCTATTGTTATTGGGGTAAAATCTTCCAAAAATACTCTCCCCTTTGAGGTGTAGACAGGGTTATGTGGTATTTGACTCACTAAAACCCTTCCTGTAGCCATCCTTAATGCTAGCTTAATAGAATTGGGTTCTGGAATGTTAAATGATAAGTGTCTTAATGCAAGTAATTCTTTCATTTTATTAAGGCTTTTCTAGAATAATATTATATTTGTGATACTAGGTGGATTCACTTTTAAAAAACGTTACTAATATATTTTGTATTGACAGAAGCACAGCCATACTGCATGAGGAATACCACAGCGGAGTCAAGAAAGAGTGTGTGCACTGCGGACAACAGTTTAGGTAGGTAATATTTCACTGGAAGGCTAATTTAGTATGTATGGAAACATACAAATATAATTGAAATTTGAGGTTAAGTCATAAATGTAGAGTCCAAAATCATACTTCATACTAATATTATAAATGCGAAAGTTTAGATGTTTGTTAGAGTTTGTAGCCTAAACTGGTGAACGGATCTCCATGAAATTTGGCAGAGACGTAGAGGATAGTGCGGCAGAGCACATGACTGTTGCAGACACGCGTCCACGTACTACACGCACATGCGCACGCACCGCAGCGAGTTCGTGTGCGCGGCGTGCGGCGCCTCCTTCGTCAGCCCCGCCGGCCTGCGCCAGCACCGCCGCCTCAAGCACGCCGCACAGGTCGCCGTCTACCCTTAATCGACGGAGGAGATGCACAAAAGAAGATACTTCTTCTTTCATCCTAATTTTGTGGGAAAAAAGGGCGGGAAGGAAAAGGAACTAAAGTTGGGCCACCCGCACCACACTCATGAAACTGCACTCGGAATTTCTCCCCCTTCACCTTCACCTGTCTTCTGTGTGGTCGTGATATGCGGGGAGCGAGCCGACCCTGCAGTGCGAAGATGTTAAAGCGGGCTGCCAGCTCCTGCAGCCTGCAGCCTGCCCCGGCCCGACCTGCACTGCGTCACTTCACACATCTCTTTCAATTTCTTCACCAATATATGCATCACGATGTTTTCTTTTTCCAATTTCTTATTATAATAATAATGGTCCTTCGAGCCGAGTTATTTTGATTGTAAGCCTTCGTGTAGGAGAGTCCCGAGGAGGAGGAGGAGGAGGAGGAGACGTTCTGCGCGCGCTGCGACATGCGCTTCGACTCGCGCAAGGCCTACGAAGGACATTTGTTCCACTCCGCGATGCACGCGCACGACGTAGAGTGAGTTTTACTTCTATTGACTTATATTTGTAAGGATTTGTATTTATTTATAAAGTACACAAACAGATAAGTTACACAGGTGTCGGGGAATGTCGTGTATAAATGAGTGCCACTGAGTCCTTAGTCAAAAATGTGACAATTTGATAAAATCGTCATATTTTAAAATACTTAATTTTGTCATTATATCAGACAAGACTAAATGTTAGCTAAAATAAAATTTCCCTTATCTTGTATTTTTTTATGTATTGAAATAACTCAAAAACTATTTGGCCACCTTTAATTTTTAGACCATTAAAAAGCTACCTTACCAGTGAAGTTATACTTTTTATTATTTTCTTAATCTCACGCGGACAAAGCGAATAACAATTAGATTTTTATTAATTTTTCTACTATTGTCTACTATATTAAAAATAATAATTTGTCTACTATTTACAGAGAGGGCAATGAAAGTCATGACAGCGCCCACAAGAAAGTATTGGGAAAGAAAATGCAAGCCAAGGTGATATGCTGCTAATTTGCTATTCTATTAAATACCATTTATCTTCCAATTAATTATTAAAGATTTATTTGTATAATAAACCAGTTTTTTTTCAACAGATCAGTAAAGGATTAAAACGTAGGTGAGTTTATTGTTAAATCTTTATTAGATTTTCGATAGTTTTCTTTTTTTAATATATTTTGTAACACAAAAATCGAAACTTTGCGATATCAATCCATGAATTTGTTATTTAAATTAGAAAAAGCGAGGAGTTTGCGATCATTGCGGAGGGCAAGCGGCGCAGGAAGCTGAAGAGGAAGCGGAGGAAACCAACCACCTGCTATCAGGTACGAACTACAACGATATTAATAATTTAAGTATGAACCAGTCATTTATACTGATATTATAAAGAGGAAAAATCTGTTTTTTTTATGTATGAAACTCAAAAACTACTGGGTCAATTTCAAAAATATAGTAACATAGACTATATTTTTTAATCTCACACAGATGAAGTCACGAGCAACAGCTAGTGAAACACAAAGATAAAAGATGTGTATTTTTCCATGTATTGAATCTTAAAAACTACTTGGTTTATTTCTAAATACTTTCATTATGAAAAAGCTACATTATCGCTGAGTGTAAAAGGCTTTATTTTATAGAGGAATTAGCGAGTAAAAGGTAGTTGTGTTGCGCAGTGCGGCGCGCAGTTCGAGTCGCAGTCGGCGTGTCTGCGGCACCACCAGGCGCAGCACCCGCGCACCTCCTTCCACCCGCCGCAC